AAGAAAACATCTTAAATCTTGCATGAATACTTTCTCTGTGGCTGCACCACAGAGATGGAGGGTGAGATGGGGCCTCCTTTAGGAAAGCATACCAACACTTAACTGTCTTATTAACAAGCATTGCCGCTACTTGCACAGAGGTTAAGCTACAATATCTACAATTTCCTACATTGCAGGTCCCACAGATCCTGTACTAGAGCCAATAAATAAAGTTTTAAAATGTTAGTTCACAGGCACAACCTTGCAGAGCAAGTAACCATGAGGAGGGCCCAACTAGAAAATCTGTACCAAAGAATATCATAATTGTGATAATATAATAACATAATCGGGCATATGCATGACATGGAATATCAGTGCTCTCCACAGCCATAAATAAAACCACAAAAATAATATCCTCATTGAAAATACTGTATGTTTTTTTTTTCCATCTGAATGCAACAATCACTCAACTTAATAGAACTATCAATCTAATTCAGCTGTCAATGGTGAAGTCCCCTAGCATTTAAAAACAACACCCATAATGTATGGAAGCTTATTAGTGGCACAGAAAAAAAAGAATTAACTTGTTTATACTGTACAAGATAGTATCTTGTTTATATGTGAAAAGTATCTTGTTTATACAAGAAAATTATTGCGTTTATAGGAGAAAAGTATCTTGTTCAAACAAGAAAACATATTGCATTTAAACACAATGGTTATTTTGTAAACAATGTTGCCTACAATATTAATACTGTATATTGCTTTGTACTGTATTTACAATACTATTGTCACATGCAGAGTAGCATTGACTTTAACAACAGTAGAATATCGCCACACTCTTTTTTGGAAAAAAATAATCTAAAAGAGCATGTGTCCTGTTTTTTTATAGACTGTACATGAAGTACAACACGTCAGTAAGCATTCCCAAGTTAAACGTGTATTGTTTTAGCCATTTCTCTGAGAAGTAGAAATGATACGGTTTTCAAAACGTATACAGTATAATAATAAAATAATAATGAACAGAATAATTTTGTTTTACCTTACCGTTGAGATGTATTAATTGCAGAAGTTTTGTGTTTTTACTTGTGTAAAAGAATCTGTCATGTAGTTAACACAGAGCACTGAGTATGAATTGGAAAAAGTAAGAACAAAGTTGACAATATGACAATCACTCTCTTCATTCAATTACATTAATCTACAATATTTTACAGCTAACACTATTGTTTAACTTTAATGTTTAACTTTCAAGCTTATCTTCTTTTTCTGTTCTAGATAAATTTTGTTTTCCTCTTTAACATTGTGAGGATCCTTATGACAAAGCTGAGAGCGTCTACCACATCTGAAACAATACAATATAGGTAAGTAATATAATATTAGAAACCATGCAAATAATGTTCAAGAGTTCATCCTGGACTACTGAATAATAACATTGTCATAATAAAGTGGTACTTATTTGTTATGTTTTGTCTGAAATCTGTTTAGATTCCAAATTGCTTAAATAGTAAATAAAAAAGTTTTTTCTTTAAATGAAAGCCTGCAGTTCTTCCAAATTATGTAAACAATTTATAAACACAAACTCATGAAAATATTTATGCTGAGTCACAGAATAAATAAGTAGGAATCCAGAGCCCTGGCATTTATAATTAAACACCCAAAATCTCTTACTAACCTAGTCCAGATGATACTACTGCAAGCACATTTCTTTGCATAACTTTTAAGACAAATTGTATGGCACATTTGGTATGCAAACAGGGCATGTTAACATACTGCAAACACATTAATAGATTTCAAATTTGGGTAAATACTTAAGATAAGTATCCAAAATATTGGAAAACTTAATGGTTGGTTGTCATTTAGAAACCTAGAATAATTTATATTTTGAGCTTTTCTTGAGATGAAGAGAGGGGATCAGTGTTAAAAAGCTGGTAACCTTGCTTTCATTGTTTAATTATACTTTTGCACAGTCCGCATAAATAACAATTCCTTTAGGTTCATAAATCTTCATGTTCCCTGACACACACTTCACAACAAATTCGTTGGATCAGTTTCACAGATAATTTTGGTTACATTTATTGCTATAAACTCAAAAGCAGAAGCACTCAGAAATGTATCCCAGTATTGTTGTTAACTCTTTGCGTCATATTCTTTTCTGCTCTGTTTTGTGTCCATTGTGCTCTTTTCTTTCAGTGTAAGTTTCTTAAATGTAGAATTCTAATCCTCTGGTGTGTCTGACAAACCTTCAGATTTTAATGTAATTATAATTTATACTGTATATTACAGTAGAATTGATTTTGTCAGTTTGATAATTTAATAAACTGTATGTTTTATAAACCACGGTATGTGAGGGACTAAAGGCCCTAAATTACACATGACTGATATTTTTTGACTGTTGTCTTTCTTTAGAACCACAGAAAAACAATATATTGTATGTTCTGTTAGTTTTATCACTAATTTTCCATTATGGTGTGTATTTGTTATTTTAAATGGTATCTGAATCTTAAAATCAGCCTGATATATTTTTCAGATTTTCTCTTAACATTATTGGTTGAGTTAAGCTTTAAGGCTATTTTTGTCTGAAGTGACATAGACACAGTTTAGTTTTTAATTGTTCAGAGGTTCGATCTGTTTTAATTAGTCCTTGACTAATACAATACCCAAAACACCAAACAATAATAATACTAAAAATAACATATTAATTTGCAATGCAAATATTATACTAAGTGAAAAATGTGTTGTGTAATCACATTTATTACAAAATCATAATGATACTTTTCAAGGTTCAAGTGTGTCCAGAAATTACAGAATTCTACTTGTAATGCTACATTTTTAACAGAATGTAACAGAATATGACAGATGTGATATGAATGCCCTACTTGCCAGACCATTGAAAGTTTTGGGAAAAAAATGCTATAATATGTAACACCTAAAGCTCAGAGACCTCTGAACAGGCTCTAAGAGAGGAATGGGACAGTATTCCACAAAACAGCATCGGTTACAAGATCTTAAAGCAAAAGAACCATAGTTAATTTGCCTATGTCATTCAGTCAATAAAATGCAAGCACACCTGCTAGGAAAAAAAAAGATGTTGTCATAATTCGGTGACCTTGTATTAATTAGTAGTACTTTCCTTTTGATGCTTAGGACATACTCGCAAAATTAATAACATTACATTTCAGAAACTGGCATTATGAATAGTGAAGATAATTCATGAAGTTACAGTAAATGGTGTGTGGATCTATACAGAATCTAGACTCTACACCTGTGAGTCCACAACAGTTTCAAGCTGACCATGATCCTCACCAAGACAGGATGTTTACTGAAAATAGATGTACGAATAGTATTATTTACTCAGCATATGCTCTTACTGTTTAAACAATATATATATATACTGTATACTGTATGTGGAAAAACTAATGTTTCAATTAAAGAAGAACAAACCAAACTACAGTAGTGAAAGAATTTGAAAATTGCATGAAGGTGAACAGTACCTTTCAAAAGTATCTACCTTCCACTAGTATCCCATTTTGTTCAATTGCCAATTTAATGTACAGTACAGTACACATTTGGAGCAGCATGGCGGCATGGTGGTTAGATTTGCTGACTTGTAGCACTAGGACCCTAGGTTAAATTCTGGACCTGGGGTACTACAGTATCTGTGTGGAGTTTGTATACTGCATTTTCTTTATTTTCACATGGGTTTCCTCCAAGTGCTCTGGTTTCCTCCCCCTGTCCAAACACATGCTATTAGGCTAATTGGCTTCTGGAAAAATTTTCCCTGCTGTGAGTGTATTTGCCTCTGTCAGTGTGTGTTCCGTGATGGACACCCAGCAGGGTGTATCCTGTCCTGCACCTGTTGCTTGCCAGGATAGGCTCTGGCTCCCTCTGGAGATCCCTGTAAATCTGTATCAGATAAAGTGGTTTTAAAATGGATGGAGAGATATACACTTTTTTTAAAATGAATACTTTGAATCTACATGTAATGCTGAAACTGAACACATACAATATATGGGAGAAATAAGATGAACTTAAACTTAAAAACTGCTAATGAAAATCCAAAACTAATATACTGATTGCATACTCTAGGTATTTACACCCCTGAGTCAGTTCTTGATGGAAGCCTGTAATGAAAGCAGCTGTGAGTGTTTTTGCATAAGTCTCTACTTACTTTGCACACTAATTGTGCAAGTCTTACCCGTTTTTCTTTGCAAATGTGCTCAAATTCTGTCATGTTGTCTCTGTCAAAAGCAAGTCTCAAGTCTTGCCGCATGTTTTCTGTTAGATTGAAGTGAGGATTCAAACATACTTTCAACTAAATGTGCGACATACCAAATTAATTTTATGCACTGAACTAATTTACATTTACCCTAGCAAAGGGGGGTGAATAGTTATCAATAACTTTAGTTATATCAATTATTTTAGTGTTTTATCATTGCATTTATTTCTAGCACTGAGCTTATTTCAACAATAAATGTGTTCAGTTTGAGAAATCAAGTTTGATTAAAGTATTCATTTTCACATAATGCAAACATCATTTGTAATTTAACAAATTGGAAAGGAGTAAATAAACAGGATTTTAATCAGATTATAATGGCAGATTGTATGCACTCCATGTTAACATACATAATCTAACATTGTAGATGCATCCCCCATTCACTAAGATTTTTTCCTTTGATGCCAAAAAATTAATCACAGCTAATATCACTCCCACCTTCAGACTAAGTTGTCCCCATATTCATATGGGTTGCATCCAGGTACTTTGGTTTCCTCCCACAGTCCCAAAACATACTGCTATGTACAGAGAAACTGGCTTCAGAGAAAATTGGCTCTGGTGTTAGCGTCTGTGTTTGTGTCTGTCTGTGGCTTTGAGGGTGTACCTTGCCTTGCACCCATTGCTTGCTGGCCTAGGCTCAGGGTCCCCCACAACCCTGGATTGGAAGAAGTGGTTGGAAGATGGATGGATGGAGGTTCAGAGGGATTGTTTTAAGATGGATTTATGATTCCTGCCCACCGTGTTTAATATATGTACTTAATGAATCTATATTCATACTTTTTCAAGATTCTAGAAGATTTATGTGTTTGGATGTCTGTGCACAAAGTCAGACTTACCTAATATAACACTTTTGTTACTTTTTTATTTACCTTTTTATTTTTTTCATCTATTATCTATGTAGATTTATATTGGAGAAAAATATGTCTCTAAAGTTCACGTGTGACACCTGCCTGCAAAGTAAACCTCATCTGGGTAATATAAAATTCTGGTTATATTTTCCAGCATCTTATCCATATTATTTCAGTATTTGATCTGTGTGTTTTTCTTTATAAGAATAAATCATTTTATATTTTGCATGACCTGTATCAATGTATCTTTCTTTCACAGAAAAGCAGTAAAAGCCACATTAGTTTTATTACCTCTGCTGGGAATCACTTACATGCTGTTCTTTGTGAATCCTGGGGAAGATGACATCTCCCAAATAGTTTTTATTTATTTTAATTCTTTTCTTCAATCATTTCAGGTAAGACCAATTGTTTTTTTTTTTTGGTGGCAATCCCCAGATCAAGAAAAATCTCATAAACATGATCCATTATGATGTACTACAAAAAACTACTAACTACTTTTGCTTTTTCTATAATGTTTAAATACATTATTCCAAATAAAATTGCAATTTACATTTGTTTTTATTAATAATACCAATTTCCTGTTTTATAATACATTAGTAAAAAACTGAAAGTGAATTAGGTGTGCTTCTGTTTTACTTCATATGTTTAATACAGATGAATACAATTATTAACAACATTCACATGAATTAGTAAATGGTATTCTATAAATCCAATGAGTTACAGTATGTGTAAGTTTTCAGGAATACTGTACTAGGAATGTGTTAAAACAAACCAGACCATTATATTTTAATGTTTTTTAAAAATTAAGTTAGCATTTTTTTATTTTGTAAAGGTACCAATGTGGAATTAGCAGGAAAATGTGAACTTAGTAAATATATTCAAATGTGTCATTCTTGATGTTTTCCAGGGCTTTTTTGTCTCAGTATTTTACTGTTTTCTTAATGGAGAGGTGAGTCCACATTGCACATAATTTCAAGCATAATGAGCAATTAGCTTAACTGATAGACCAGTGGCACATTAGACACAGAGTTTATCAGAGTTTTATACTTTTATAACAGTTTAAACTTATAGTCATAATAGATGTTGCAGTGCATTTTAACCTAGCTGGAAAACTAAGGGAAAAAAAACTCAAGAATCTAATGTAAATGAAAGCTTTCCAATAATGAAAATATGATTACCAATTGGAAACCAGAATATGAAAAATAATACATACTTTAATATATACTATTTAATTATATTAAATATTATAAATTATTTTAATATATACTGTAAATTATGAAGAGTTACAATCATGCACAAATGAATGTAAGTCATGGGTAAAGGGAACATGCCAAATTTAGCTTTACTTAATAAAAAAAAGTTTCATTGAAGGGGACATAATTGTTATGTCATTTTAGTGCATTATGTTAAGATACAGATTACATTCAAAAATGTCTATCTACTCATAACTTTAGCTATTCATATACTGTACATATTATCTGGCTTGAAATATTTTTAAAATTATCATAAGAATTGATAGAAATTGTTAAAGCAATTGACTACTTCAACAACATATTACATATATATATATAAGGATACTGTGATGCCACAGGGGTAATGGCCAACACTGTGGGCATGGAACAGGTGTGTTCACCTCTTCGGAAATGCTCCTTTTTAGCCTATTGGGGAACTTTTTGTGTGCATTATATACTGTTTCTATTTTGCGCGTACTTGCTCTTGCTATACATGCCCTCCCCTCTGCATGCATTCACTCTTTCTTTATATGAACTTTCCTCCGAGTAAGGTATTGACTATAAGCCCCTTGTCAGACCAGAGGTGATGCTCACAGGATATCGGGCCTAAAGTCTACATCCCTTTCACTCCACTCTTCTTCACAGTCTCCTCTGAGACTGTTACCATTTCACAACTAACGTCCCTTCACTCATGGTTTTCCAGGCTCGATGAGTTTCACCTTCTGGTCTCGCCCTCCAGGAAGAAGCCTCTAGGTCCCTCGCATCGTTGAGCCCTTCACACATGATTTCCCAGGCTTGATAAGCTTCACCCTTCAATGACAATGTTTTGCAAGGAGCCTCTCTACTTCTAGCCATGACACCTGCAGTCTCCTACACCGTTGCTCTTACATCAGAGCTTCTCTCTTCCTCACTGTTGGATGTTCTTCTTTACTGTTACACATTTTGTCAGGACAATAGGCTCCTCTACTCAGCCTAGCCCTTGGATTTCAAGGATCCGCTTCCAGCTGCTGGAACATCTCCCAATGCCACCAGGCTGTCTCAAACATACAGCTTCCAGTGCCTCATACTCACGCTGACATTTCCTACGTTAACAACATCGAGTCACTTCCACACCCCACTCCATGTCGAGACTCATCACACTTTCCCTAATTAAAATAACACACCCACACAACCTCTCTGACACCTCACTCACAACATGGCTGTGGGCACATCTTCTCACTTCTCCAACCACCACTGCTTCTTCACATACGTAGCTGTCAGTGCACCTTTCCAATGCCAGACCCCAGTCAGTTCATGCAGCTGATAGTGCTTCTTCTCAGTAACCAGTCACCACTGTGCCTCTCATACTGTGCAGCACTGTTGGCACCCTCACCTCATCACCACTGTATGCTAATCACCAGAGGTCTGCAGCCCTACTATACAATACTCCTTGGTATACAATACTTGTCTTGGAGGAGCCTACTACCTCCAAAACTCCAATCACCCTTGCACTCACATTCTAACTCACAAATACACTCATACTGTACAACGGACTCCCTGACAGTGCTGCTCTCACATTATAGCAGACTGCTGTCCCTTTAAATCTCCCAATTCTTTAAGGTTCCATTTTGAAGGCTAACATGAACCCTCTGGAATTGCCATTCACTCTTTGTTTTCCTCATTGGGGTTTGTCTCTCTGCTGTTTCCACTGTCTCCTCTGATACTGTCGCTCATCTTTCACCTCCATATAGGGGTACAGCTGCAGCCACTAGTCTGCTTTCTCTTTATCTTCAAATGCAGACATGCTCATTGCTACTGTATTGCCGATAGCAACAGCGTTTCACATTTGCTGCTGACCTGCTTCGGCCTGGCTCTCTCACTGCCAAGCTTCTGCAAACAGGAGACCTGATATCACTCAGCCACCCATCTTGATCTACAGCTTACACAAGACTTAGGTCTTACTTGGTCTCTGCTGAGGGCAGTAATTCGCCTACTCTTAAAGCTCACTCACAACTGTATCTCATGATTAATCCGACTGAGCTCAACCGTGGTTAAGTAAGGCAATGTGTCATTTCTAAATGAGGGCTCCACCCCTGAAAGATACAGCACCCTGGATGGCATTACAATATATTTTACGGTGGTACAGTGCCACATTGGTTAAAATTACTGCCTTGTAGTGCTGGAGTCCTGGGTTGTACTCCTAGGGCACTATCTGTGTGGAGTTTGTATGTTCTCCCCATGTTTGTTTGGATTTCCTCAAGGTGCTCAGGTTTCTTCCCACAGTCCAAAAACATACTTAATAAAGTAGGTTAACTAGCTTCTGAGCTATTATCCCTTGTAAGAGGGCATGTATGTCTGTGTCGTTCTGCTTTGAGATAGAATAGCATTATCAGCTGTGCTTCAATTCGATTATACCTCAAAAGTGTCAATCTTAAAGAAATTATGATTTGTATAAACCTTAAAGTTGGAAACAACTGTCTGCACTAGTTGACATAAGTCTTATGAACCTGCAAAAAAAACGGTAGGAAGGATTAGCAGCTGCAACCAGGGAGGGGGTTAAACAGGGAGTCTGAAAGAGAAAAGTGCAGTAATTCATGTATCTGTATAATGAATTACATAAAAAGATGATTCACTACCCTTCAAAGGAAGGCCAATCTGAGTAGGCAATTGTTAGAGCTGTAAATGTTTCATTTAAGGCAAGATAGAAAGAAATGAAAGTATTGTTTGCAGGTTTAAATTAATAACTTTTTTACCATTTCACAATTAGCCGCTGAACCCGATTGCACATCAGAGCTTTTGCTATCAAAGACACATTTACATAAAATGGAGTTGGTATGATGGGGAGAGTTGCATCAAACAGAGAAATAGTTTTAAAAAAAGCAGCTTAGTAAGAAAAAAGGGTAACCAGATGAAGATGACTATTAGGTACAAAATCGGATGGTATCCTAAGCCCCCTTTATATCAACTTTATTAGTGGAATTCACAGATTCTTATGGGAGTTAATTACCTCTGAATGGACAGAAGTAAAAAGGTGACTAAATTGTGTGACTGAATGCTTAAGGCATTTGCAATCACATTTCCTATCTGAAAGAAGTGAGAGGACAGTTTATTTTCTATTTTCATCAGAAATGCTTGTAGTCAAATGAAAGCAAAATCCTAAAATATCACTCTCTTTGTGCATGTTTGTTTGTAGAAAAGAACATACAGATAATTATTTTTAAGTGTTAGGTGACCATGTTTATTATTTAATGACTGACCATGATGCACTTGTAATTTCCTTGATGTGTTTGCTCATGTTATTTTAAACTCTTACAACTGTGTTGCATGCTTTTGCTTGTTTCCTCACAAATTTATACATTTTCCAATGTTTATGTATTGTGTTGTTTCAGTCATACACATTTCTGAGTGCTCTCAATTTTTGACAGAATTTATTCAGGTTACAGCCTCTTCACACCCATGTGTTAATATAGGCTTCACTCATTAGCTGGAAGAACTTAATTTTCCAAAATCGCACAAACCCATGTTGTGTTGTGGATTTTATTGCATACATTTTCTTTTCATTTATAAATATTACAAGATCCATATGCTTCAATTCTGATTTTTGTTATTTAATTTCAACATCTTCGTGTGAGGTACTTAGATGTACTGTAGCAGTCTGAGGAAGCCACCATCTTGGCACAAATGTCTGATTCAAGGGAGTGGTATAGTGCCATAATGAATATCTGCTAAGTGGTAAAAGCTGCAGAATGAGGTATAGCTGGTCTGAATCCAATGTGATTCCACATGAGAGAAAGGAGAAGTCAGGATAGAGAGAAAAACTAAAGTTATTTGCCATGGATTGGCCTGTATGCTGTGTTGAACTAGGAGATAGATACAGCTTATGCAGAAGAAGCTGAGAAGCAGGTATAGCTTCCTAAACTAGGCCTGATGGAAAACATTAGCAGCCTAATGGAGCATAGCATTGATTGGCAAAATAGCAGTATACAGTATATTTTCCTCAGAAAGGGGTCTTCATGACCAAGATTGAGACTTGAAGATGCACTGTGTCTTAACATCTGCAGACAGATAGGTTTTCTCAGAGAATGAGATAAGAGTGAGGAAACAGCAAATCCAGCTGCTTCTACTGTATGTCAGAATGCTACAATATGTCGGGTTTGTTATAGTGAGGCATTCCTGGGCAAGGATGTTAAGGGAGTGGTCTGGTGGAGCAAAGATGATGTGACGATAAAAACAATGTGCCACACATGGTTTGTAGAGTTTTACCTCAAATGTGTAAAAATCAAGCAAGCCTTACCTTGTTAATATCCGTCACACTTAATATAAAAAAGTTTATTTATTTTTATTTCTTGTATACAGCAGACTAACACAGCTTTTAATCAGTGCTTAGATACTTCCATTATTAGTTTGTTGAATTTGCACATATGAATCAATAATACAGAAGAGCTCCACATTTAAACAATGAATAACTAGATGCTGTAACAAAAACACCAATTTTATCTCACACTTTTAGTTTCTCTACTTGATTACTCAAAACAATAATCATATGCAAAGGACATAGCCAATATACAGGCTGACAACAGCTGGACACCATCCAACTGCCAAATGTTTTTCTAACATTACCTCACTGCAAGGAATCAAATGTGATAATTAGAACCTGAAACCTACAGCACAAAAAACATTTTACTGGTTATAACGATATACTGTAATTTCAAGGAATCCTGAAATGTAAGTTACAAAACATAAACATCATCCCCTCCTCATTTTTATTTTAAGCAACATAATTAGCCAACCTACAACTTGCTTTCCATAGAATGCAGATCATCTGGGAAAAGATACGAAATTCACCTACAAAGTATTATCATTTAATACATTATACATTGCATTAAAAGACTACAACATGAAACACCTTTTGACTTCTGGATTCTGAATTCAGTTTGCAGAAATAATACTTATACCAATATGCTTCATGTTTTATCATCGCATACACAAGTCTGTCATATATTGTTTCACCTCAGAATAGTAACTAATGTATAACAGACTTGTCAAGATCATATTCTACATTTGGCATTCATTTACAAGATTTATTATTTAAAGTCCATTAGGTTAATGTCATTGAGAGCCACACATTTTTAAGGTTTAAATCAAGTCTCCCATTTTTAACTTATACATATTATTGTTACGTATTAAATTGAAATATTGATTAAATATCTTAAGTTCTAAAAAATCGTAGTTATTTAACTGTAGTCTATATTTAGGAACATCTTTTCCAGGTAATATTTCAACATCAAACAGATGTAATTAAACCCAACAGCAATTTATTTTCTAAAATCAGAGTAATGAAGACTACAACCCTTTGTACAGTACACTTTGCCATTTGTAAAGTAGGAGTTCAGATAATACATTTCTTTATGTTTCTTAGTGTATTTTACAGACAATAAACACATTTGAGTACCATAAACTGAGATCCAAGCATAAATAATTTATTTTAGGTATTACATGTAAAGAAGAGAGAGTGAGTTATTTTCAGCATTAACAAAAATGAAACAATATTCTATTTTTGTGTAACAGATCAAAGAAAACATCTCATGCAGCACTGTAATTAAATTATTAATAATCACTTCTGGCAATGCTACATACTGTAAAACTAAGTGTGGCTCATATTGTAATACATTTTTGCTTTACAATTACTGAAAAAAAACATTGTGTTAATCATTTTTGATGTTCTATTTTTATGTTTTATGTTTATGATAATATGAAACATTATCTCCAGTGTGTTATTCCTGAGATAAGCATGTCACATAATTACAGATCCTACTGTATGATGCATTGTGTTAATTACTCAACAGGGTTGCTAGATCTGAAACTTTTATAATTGAAGAAATAAGTGTCATGATTTTCACTAACCAATTAGTTTAGGGGTTTTAAATGCCATCCAGGCTGTATCCTGCATTTTGCCTGTTTCTTACCAGGATAGACTCAAGCATCCCCACTGTTAGAAAACTGATAGATGTATTACTAAAATGTATTACTTAAAAGACTGATAAACTGGCATAAATATGATTAATGCCAAGCACAACTGTAGCTTAAGTTCTAGTCGGGAGCCCATCAAAGTGCGGGGGGGCTTATTTGAGTTGAACACTAGTTGAAGGTCACCTGCCAATCATCCAAGGATTACCAACCCAAGAGGAACTTGATGGGTGGAGGACAATTTACTTATTGAAATTCCAAGCAATCACTGACTATGATTACTGGGTTCAAAAGATACTACATACTGTAGTTCACTCTCACTGATCTGCTCTCTCGAATGCTACATGACAAAAGAATGATCTCTATGACTGCAACCACCTTTGTACAAGTAAGAAAACGAATCTTTAGTTCGAGACACCAGGTCAAGAAAGAGTCAGAATGTGTGTAAGCAAAAAATGTCTCTGCAACAAGAAAAAAAAACAACTCAAGAACCAAGTATAATTTTGCTTATAGAATGAAATTGATATGGTTGAACTTTTGTCAACAAGCCTGACTAGCAGAGTATATATACAGTAGTAGTTGCAGTACACCTTGAAATGAACAGTTTCTACCCCATGCTATCTCACTCGATTGTAACTGAGTCAGACCTTCTGCATAAACTGTTATACAGCTGAGCTGCATGCAACACTAACCTTCTCTGGGAGCTGTCTTCAGCACCATTGCCAATGCCAAGAGGACAGCCTGTTGCTGGGGTGGGTAGCTGCGTCAACATGCATAGCCTGCAAAGGAACAAGTAATACGTTTATTCCATGCTGAAAAAAAGAAGAAAGAGTGAAGAAGGCTCCACGGCCGAAACGTTGTGTTCTCTTTCTTCTTTTTTTCAGCATGGAATAAACCTATTACTTGTTCCTTTGCAGCCTGTTGCTGAGACAGCAGAAGGAGATTGGATCACAGCTGTGATGAGCCCAGTCCACCTCCCTTACTCAGAAGGATTTTCACATTTTCAAATCTCTACCTAGTACCACCTGGGCAGAGTTTTTTTTTTCTAGACTTATACTATATTTCACAACAATAACTCCTACTTGTAGGGAATATGAATTTGACTAATTATATAAAAAATTAACTTAAAAGGCTGACCATATCAAATGGTATAGTAGATACACTGATGTTTTTACTACATTTGGATTTCCTGAGAAATTGATTAGCCTTTTTAATTAAGGCAGACTAATTCATATACAGTATATACAGCTGCTCTTGTTGGTTTAGTCTGTATGTTCAGTCTGTTCAATCTGTGTGCCATTATTGCTTTTTTTATTTTGTCTGATTCCTAGTAGCTATAAAAGTACCCTCACGATTTACTGTTCCAAGTTATAAATGATTGTTCTATCACATCCATAAAAAATTAGTACACTAACACAGGATGATACAATAACTTTCTCTCCCGCTAATTTTAACACGGGGGAAAATACGGATATTTTTTTTTCTTTCAGGTGCGTTCTGCTGCAAGAAAAAGGTGGCACCGCTGGCAAGATAACCATGCTTTGAGGGTGCGAGTGGCTAGGGCAATGTCCATTCCCACCTCACCAACAAGGATCAGCTTCCACAGTATAAAGCAAACAACAGCTGTGTGACCCTGTGAATCAGGAGTGGCCTTTAGAATATTTTTGCATTCTGTTTTGATTATCTCTATTTTATTATTAAGAGCGCAGGTTAGCTTTTATGTTTTGTGAACTGGTGTGAGTTTTGTATGATTAAAACCCCAAACAATATGTTATAGATTTAGTAAATCACAATCTGAGAAACCCTGCCGGCCTAGGGTTATTTCAACTACCATGTTAATGCTGACGTATACTGTACCTATCAACATGTGAAAGCTGCAGTAAGTGTTATGGTTATGGAGTCTTTTACACTTAGAAATGTTGCCTTTGTAAGTTTTTGAAATCAAGTTCAGTTCCCTATCCAAGGGAATTGAATTTGATTCATACAGTATATGTGTATCATACAGTATGTCTTTGGATTTTAGCATGCTGTGATAATTCTGTGCATACAATATATTGTGAATGACTCCTGCTGTAGGGTTGTTTCATGGAAAGTAAGCATGAAGAAACAATGATAAAAATATCAGAGTTTCTTTAAGATACATTTTATTTTTTTATTGTCAGTGCTAGTTTTTATTTTTGGCCATAGAAAATCTGTCCTTGAGTTAGTAAAACATCTAAAACATATTATTGAATGTCGGGGTCATTCACAGTTTTACAAATACTGAAAAGAATTTGGATATTGGTTGGTATTCTGACAAGTAGAATTTGAGAAACTCTGTTACCTAAACCATTTCCAGTTCAGTAAAACTTCAAAATACAGTAGGTTTTGCTAGTACAGTATATCATTTAAGACAAAACAATCAGCCAGGTTTTATAATTCTGTAGGATTCCAATAATGATAGTAATATAAAAAAAATTCAACATTATTTAAAATCTTAAAACATTCCGTGGAAGGTTTCTCTCTGGCATCTGATGCAGGCATACATTTAAACCAAAAACTGCCATTGAAGTTTTGAAAATACCAGTTTTCTAATGCAAAATATGAAAGTTCATGTTGATAGTGCTGAGCATATGAACCATGTGCACTACATATAAAATCCTTCAACTTTATTTTTTAAAGAAAATAGGTATTTGAGTAATATAAAGCAAAATACATAAATTGTCTTAGCCCTCACCAGTTAAAGACTGAAAATGGTGGGATGTACTTTGTTAACACTGTGTATACTGTATATATATATACTGTATTTTAACAACTACAAAACCTAGAAAAAGAAAGGCAGACTAATTCATGATTTTCTTTAAACTATTCTTTATACTGAAAAATAGTGATGACGTGGCATTGCGTTCACAAAAAAAATTCTAGACTTTTTGGGCCTTTTTAGTCCAGAGCATTATTCACAATAATTTTTCAAGGAATGCATTGTACCTTTCACAATTCAATACAAGATTATAGAGTAAACCATTTAATAACTTTTTTAGTCTTATAAATCTTAGGTAAAATAGTTTCAAGAAGTGACTGTTGAGCATATCTTCTGGAGAGAAACCTATTGAGCTAACTTTAAGATATTTTAATGAAAAGCCTGAACTAGCTAGAGTCAGGTAAATGTAATAAAATAAAAACACATAAATCAATTTAGGGCACAATGTGTTATTCTAATTAAACTTAAAACCCTTTTGTCCCCTTTTGGAGTCCATTTCAGGAATATACAGAATTACAAATTACATGTAATATTATAAATAGATGTAAATTATTATTTTATTACCTGAAAAATGAACATGACAAATTATTAGACAGAGTTTTAAAATAACATTTATTGTTAATTGATGTATGAGCCAAAAGAGAAAATTTTAACACATTGTTTAAGTGTATGTATAAATTATTTTAATGAGATATAAACAGTTACAAACATTTAATTTAACTATTTTGTTGCTTTACTTTTCACAATTCCATGTATTTGGCTAATGTTTCACCTTCTGTGTCCCCATTTTAGAAATATTCATATTGTTAACACATGACTAACTGGTGAATTGTTATTCATTTACATTTCATTGGAATTAAAATATTTTGAAAAAGAGTAACAGAGTAACATTAGGCCAGCAGTTACTATTAATAAATTCAGATACCAGTAAATAAAAAAAAATATATGTTTGATCGCTTCCCAAATGAAAATTTTAATGGACTGATTTCAAGATTTTGTGCGTTTTTTTGTGTTATCTGAAAATGCTATGTCTCCATGTGTATAATGAAGTAAAACATACTGTGATACTTCCTTAGCTATACATTTTAATTTTTCCTCTGTCTTTGACAATGACTTTGTCCAAATTTACATTCTGAACATTATAATAATTATAGTACGGAGTAAAGATTTTGTCATTGACCTATCCCCCACAGTATTAATGTGCTCCTATTTAAGAAAAAAAATAAATTCTCAGACATAGCTGTAGATAAATGTTCAACTACTAGAGAATTTTTGTTACATCCATTGATCAGTGATGTAAAAACATACTGTAACAACATTTTACTAGCTGCCATTCAGACCTAGAGTTAATTATAATGGACATCATGCTAAGAGTATTTTTCTCATATTACAGCACATTCCATTACTGACTTCTAATTGGTTGATATATTGGTCTAACACACCAATCTGCATCAAGCAATCACATGTCTGTGAAGTTTTGAGAGTAACATTTCACATTCATCATCAATCAAAGTTTATTTATCAAATGCACAACAATACAACGTGCAGCAGTAGTTGCTGGCAATGAAATGTCTTTTCTATGAGCTCACGGGGGGATATTTAAATTAAAGTTACAAAATACCATTCCATAATAATAGATAATAGTGCAATAGAAATTGAATTAAATAAACTCACACAAAATTCAGTATAAATAGAGCTGCTATGTGTCCAGGGTGTATGCAATACATTATGTCCAAGTAGTGCAGTATGCCGAATACAATTAAAACTGTATGACCATGTAGCCATTACGGATGATTTGCTGAAGGAATTGCAGGTTGGCTGTTTAGCAGTCTTATTGCCTAGAGGTAGAAGCTGTTCTGTAATCTCTTGGAGTTTGACTGAATGCTTCAGTACCATTTACCGGACAGTAGGAGAGAAAACAGTTTGACTGGGATGACTGGGGTCCTTGAGAATGGACCTGGACTTCTTAAGACATCTAGCTGAGTAGATATCTTGGATGTTTGGTACAGTACCTCACAGCCGGTAATGAGCTGCGCTGACTTCGCACTGCAACCCTCCGCAGTGCTTTGCAATCCCAGGCGGAGCAGTTCCTGTACTAGGCAGTGATGCAACCAGTTAGGATACTCTCAATAGTGCACCTGTAGAAGCTGGCCTGGATATGTGACGGCATGCCAAACGTCTTTAGCCTGCGGAGAAAGAATAGGTGCTGCCATGCTTTTTTGACCACGATGTTGGTGTGGTGGGTCCAGGTTAAGTCCTCTGTAATGTTAACTCCCAGGAACTTAAAACTGCTGACCCTCTCCACTGCAGTCCCATTGATTTACATAGGCATGTGATCTCCTCCCTGGTGTTTCCTATAATCCACAATCATCTCCTTAGTCTTACTGATGTTCAGAGAAAGGTTGTTCTCCTGGCATCATGCTGCCAGGGTTTCAACCTCCTCCCTGTACACATAATATAATGCAATACAATTTTTTTAAAAAAGGTTGTCCATTACAATGGACATTGGATCTCAAGAGAGGCACAATAATCTATGACTTCGATGTACAGTATCTCAACATTCCTAAAACTTTCAATTAATTATGAAAAGTTAATATTTATAAATTCATATATTCACATACAGAGTACACTGCTTTACATGTCTGGAATGTCTGTCTGATAGACATCTTTGAGAAACTGAAAATTTGAATACTGGTGAAGAGACTGCAGATAGTACCATATCTGAGACAATGATATGTGCAGAGTTGTAGAGACCGTAAAAGTCAAACACGACTAATGTGAAATAATGTGAAAAGTATTCTATATTTTTATTATTAATGTATGGTAAGTTATTTTTCTCATTTATGAACCCTACATGGAATAAAGTTAGCAAAAGAGTGCAGAAGAAACGTTTCACAGCATCGTTGCTGATATAGTGTTTGATTATATTATTAGTATTAGTGAAATTTTCATTAACAAATAAAAAGTGAGAGCAAGGTACAGTATACTGTGGATAGTATTCGTACTGAGCAGATAGGGATGAAATTCCATATAAAATGGAGAGTGCCATACATGATCTGACAACTGGAATAAATTTCCTGCCATTAAACTCTGTTTATTTTTAAGTTTCAAGTCTTTGAAAATCCATCATATTTGGAATTTTGGAAAGACACCTATGCTGACATTAACAGAAAACACAAAATTCAGTGGTGCCATTTCCCATTCAGCCCTATCACTACTCCCTGCTACCAGGTAGGATGGAAAAATCGATCAGGTCAAATGGTTTGACAACCAATCTGTCCTACTGGCCTCCAACTTTGTTCATATGAGAGAAGAGGATGAGGCTGACAGGTGGGACAAGAAAGAGAAAAAAAAATCAACATGATCAAACGATCTGCATTTTTGAGAGATGTTACGGAACTACCTTTATCTGGAACCACCAAAATGGTGTTGCATACATTCTAAGTGATGTTATAAAATAGGTTAGCTGGTGTGCTGAACTTTTTATAAGAGAAAATGTGATGCCAGATTGCATTCCACTCGGGACCAAAAATCCAGCTTGCCCCAATACTTCACTGTTTGAGAAGGTATAGTACAGAACTATCCCATGGCAATGTGTAGATGTCAAGGACTAAGTAAGTTTTGAGATGTATACTATAGAAAAATTCAGTCAGGAATTAATATCCCTTAGATAGAAAGGAAGGTGTGCAAACCATTGTCGCAAATAAAATTTAGATTTCTGGTAGAAATCCAGTCAGTGCTGGATAAAATAGTATTTAATAAGTAACACATTACATTTACAAGTTACTTGTGTATGGGTTCCTTTTTAAAATAAATTGGTGATTTTAAACAGATATTCAGAAGGGGGGTGGGGTGGGGGCAAATTCTCATCTTGTCCACTCTAGCACACCTATGCATAAATATGTCAAATAGGTAGCTGCGTCAGCATGTGTAAGCTGCAAAGGAACAAGTAAAGGTTTATTCCATGCTGTAAAGAGAATAAAGGAAAAACAATGTTTCGGCTGTGGAGCCTTCTTTGGGTGTCTTACTTGATAATGTGGTAATGTATATATTGTATCTTTGCTGATAAATGTTTACTTTAAAAGTGAGACACTTAAAAAAACAGTGCTGCCTTACAAAAATACAACAAGATGTTATAAGATATATAATATAATACATGTATTTATTTTTAATAAGAACGTATACTTGCATACAGTATATCGATTTTACGTTAGCTCATGGCAAATCTGGAGTCAATATTTTAATAAACTTGAAATGTATATGTTACACTCCTTAAGAAACATAAATGATTATATTATGATAAAAACATTTTTAATTTACTGAAAATAATCCACTGTTACAGGTATATTGTTATCATTGATTTATTTGGCTGAGGCTTATCCCTAATGCAATTTACTGTAATTTAAGTGGTGCAACCTGAGTGAAGTACAGTAGTTTGATCAAGGACACAAAATCAGTGCTTCTCCTGGGTTTTGGACCCATGGCCTTCCTGTTATAGTTTTAAAGCCCCTAACTGCAACTCCATACTGCAATCTAAAACTGGGGCAGTGGTAAAAGCTTGAACAATATAACAGGGTACCAGATAAGCATTGCAATGACTAAATGATTACAAATAAAATAATTTGGGGTTTTATTCATTGACTTTCTGTCAAAGAATTACACAATGTGTAAATTACGAACCTTCATTTTTTGTGAAACTAATATTAAAACAAAAGAGTCTATTAGGACATCTTTGTTGTGCAGTGAGCATGAATCTGCATGAATGAGAATATTTAAGTATTTCTTGGTTTGATATTTATTTCATTACAAATCATCTATCCATCCTTTTTCTAATCACTTTATCTAATATGAGGTCTCAAGGAAGCCAAAGCATAATGTTGAAAGCACCAGGCACAAGACAGGATACACTCTGAATAGGATGCCAGTCCATCACAAGGCACACACACAAGTACAGACACACTCACAACAGGGTCAGGTTTCCCAGAAGCCAGTTAACCTATTGGTATGTCTTAGGACTACAGGTCGAAACCCAGAGGATCCAGAATAGACCCACATGAGGACAGGGAGAACAAACATACACCACGCAAATAGCAGTCCTTGAATTGAACCGAGAGCCCCAGTGCTATAAGGCAGCAGTGTTAACCACTGTGCTTCCATGCTGCCCAATCAGATTATATTTATGTATTTACCTAAAAGACTTATTCACAGTCAGTTACAACTAACCTTAAAATAGAGCTCTTGTATTTCTGTGTTGTTTGCAACAGAAAAAGGCATTTATCCCAGACTTTGATTTGAAAAATGAAAAAAAATAAAACAAATTTTCTGATAAGAATCTAGTTAGCTAATTTAAGAAAATTAGATTGTCTTACTGAATAGAAAATAATCCTTTTTTCATGGGATTAAATATTTCTACAGTACATTTTACAAAATGCTTGAAATGACTCAGATTCATTAGCATTTTATGTAATTGCCCGAACTGAATACCTACACACTGTTAAAGAACATGTATCTGAAATTAGATCTATTATAGCAAATTGTAAGCCCTGATGGATTCCATCTACTGAAGTGTGTGTAGAGGCACTTTACAAAGCTTCAGAGCTAAAATATATGGGAATTGTTTATGTACAATGCTTAGTCATCAAGCACATTTTAAAATGTTGAGCAGCATCACGAATTTTGGACACCTACTGTAGCTTTTGGTGTTTCATTAGAGCCTTTTGGATCTGCTCCATGTTCTGTCTCTCATGACAGTCAGTTTCTCAGCTGTTCAGCACAGTCTTTTTTTTCCTAAACAGCTATTCAGAGCAGTCTTCCAAAGCAAAACAGCTGCCTCGATGTTTTAGCTTCGCACTTTTTCTTCTTTAACTAGATTGCAAGTCATTTTGCAATACCTTGAACTCACAATTCCCTGTTGCCAATGTAGGAAACTCAATTACAGAGAAGAGGAAGCAGCAAGCAAAATAAATCAAGAACTTAAGGCAGAGAGAGTAAATAAATGAGCATTATATCCAAAACAACAGAAAGTTTATTTTGCAGTTATTATTATCTGATGTACTGAGCTCAATATCAATGCTCAGTAAGATCAGAGCTCATTACATCAGATCATGGTATTGTTGCAGTATTGCTGCAGTTGTTATTATGACAATCTCTTTCTCAACATACTGTATACAGTACATATACTGTATATAGTACATATCCATCCATCCATTTTCTAGCTGCTTTATCCACTACAGAGTCCTATATAAATATGTCTAAATAAAATACTGTATATTTTGCATCGAGTGTATAAAAACCTCCAATTTGTCATTTCAAATGAACCAAGAGAACCTGCATACCTTCAGGCAACCAAGTTGCCACTAGGGCACTAAGACCTGCTTCAACAGGCAAGTTGGCAATCCTAAAGCTGACCTGACTGTTCTCTCCACTGGCCACTAGAATGAATTATACTTGCTTACTCATTGTAAGGGTCAAGGATCACTAGAACTTAATACTGTGCAAAATGCTAGAACTCAACTTTAATGGTTATGT